CTAAACCTACATACGAACCAGATATATCTTCCAAGGTTAGGTATCCTATGAGTAACTATGTGTTTGATCAAAACCTATCAGACTCAACTAACGTATTTGTAAATCAATTATCAATTTTAGCTATATCCAATAACGTGCAAGAAGCTTTAGCTGATCCAAAATGGAGAAGGGTCATAAACGAAGATATGTGCGCATTATAAAAGAATGAGACATATGATCTTGTAGATCTACCACCAAGAAAAAGAACATTTGTATGTCGATGTATCTACACTGTGAAATATAAGGCCGATGGGAGCATTAAAAGACATAAAACGAGATTGGTGGCGAAAGGCTACACACAACCCCAAGGAATCGATTATACGAAGACATTCACTCCAGTTGCCTAGATCAATACAATTCAATTATTGTTATCCTTAGTTGCTAATTCTTATTGGCCGTTACGACAATTTGATGTAAATAATGTTTTTTTACATGGAGATCTTTTTGAAGAAGTATATATGGATCCTCTACCTGGGTGCATAACAACCGAGAAACAAAAAGATTGGCTTTGCAAGTTAAAGAAGTCATTGTATGGTCTAAAGCAATCCTTGAGAGCATGGTTTGGAAGGTTTACTAAGGTTGTGAAGTCATTCGGTTTCAATCAAATCAATACAGACCACACATTATTTTTTGAAAAGGAAATACGGTAAGATTACTGCTCTTATCATATATGTTGATGATATGGTTGTTACGGGTGATGACCTCAGCGAACAAAATGATCTAAAAGATTATTTGTCTCGTGAATTTGAAATGAAAGATCTTGTTCCACTAAAATACTTCATTGGGATTGAAGTGTCTGGATTAAATGTTGGAATCTTGCTATCCCAAAGAAAGTATTCTCTAGATCTTTTGTAAGAAACAAGAATGTCAGGTTGCAAACCAGTAAATAAACCAGTGATTGAAGGTCTGAAGCTTAAGAATGAAACACAACATGTTTCAGTTGACAAAAAAAAGGTATCAAAGACTCGTGAGAAGGTTGATGTACTTGGCATACACGTGACCAGTCATTGATTATACATTAAGTGTAGTCAGCCAGTTCATGCACAATCCAGGTGAACAACATATGAATGCTTTCATGTATTTACTACAATTCTTAAAGTCAGCTCCACGTAAGGGAATTCTTTTAAAAAGAATTCAAACTACCAAAGCATTTAAATATACACAAATGCATATTTAGCAGGATCAAAAGTTGACGGTAGGTTTACATCTCGTTATTTTAGCTTTGGTGGAGGCAATTTAGTAACATGGAGAAGTAAAAAACAAAACGCTGTGGCTCGATCTAGTATAGAGGCAGAGTTTAAAAGTATGGCTTTTGGTATTTGTGAGGCATGGTGGATCAAACAGTCTTGTACAAGATTTGGGTTACTCTCTCAAACAATCTTTTTAGCTACTTTGGAATAACGAATCCGCTAGTGACATTACCCATAATCCAGTTCATCACGACCATACCAAACATGTGGAAGTGGACAAATTCTTCATTAAAGAAAAGTTAGACAACAAGATATTGGAATTACCAAAAATCCGATCAAAAGACCAGCTAGCAAACATCTTAACTAAATCCACCTCAAAGATTTTTTTTTCCAATCTTCTTAGCAAGTTGTACATGTGTGATATATATGCACCAACTTGAGAGGGAATGTTGAGATTTGTTTTTGTTTTTGTATTAAAAGTTATGTTTAGATTCTGATATGTTAGAGATATTAGGGATTTAGATTACTTTATGTTAGAGATATTAGGGATTTAGATTACTTTATGTTAAAGATTGACTTCATCAATCTCTTATAAATATTGTATTTTCCTTTGGGGTTTAATATATGAAAAAAAAAACTCTTGAGATTAAATAGGGTGTCGTTGACAAGGTTTGCGATGTAGTCTGTAGTACCCAAAAAAATATTTGGAATCCTTGGGAAATGGTTTGTGGTGCTCAAATAATGCAGGTCCGTTTCAGAGGGTGGACGATAGGAACGACCGTCTATGACCCATTTTTTAAAGGGGCACAAACTTTTTATGGATTTTATTAATTATACGTTAGACAAGATCATTTTTGAAGATATCATTAATAATTTTGTAATCGAAAATGTTATATTTTGAAGCTAGTATAAATAATTTTCTTTTAATTATTGAGTTAATATAAATAAATTAATGAAATTTATGAATTTTAAAGGTTATTTTTTTCTCTCTCATCCTGAGCCCAAAATATGTTTAAAAAGGTCGAATAAAAGGTTTGCCATGCACATCCCAAAAACCCCTTTCGTTGATTACTCTTGGGCATCATCCACCAGTAGTTTTTACGTGAACTTCATTGTAAAGAAATCTCATTGTATCTCTAACCATATGGAGAATGTGTGTTTTGATGTCTACAATTAATAAAATTTGTCTGCGGTTCGATCTGTATTAATTAATCCTTTGATATTATAAACCTTGTTAAACATTTTATTTTTCTTCACATCTTCATAGTGTGGTGTGTGTTTATCGATTTTTGATTCTACCAATAAATTTCATTTGTTGTGACTTGTAAATTCCGTTAGACATTATTTAGTGGTAACTAGGTAGAAGGTTATAGATCCTGTTCAATTACTAATTATGGATTCTTCCTAATTAAGTAATATAACTTTATGTTTAGTTTAGCGTCCTACTCTTGGATTCAAATCAGCTAGCAAATACCAAAGGCGGAATCATGCTTTAGTTTCCTTTTTAACTCCAATTTGTGAATATTAAACTTGCTGATTAATTTCCACTAAGAGAGAATTATATGTGCGCCATATGTATTAATTAGTTTATGCCACTAATATCTAACTCCCTTCTATTACATGATTATTTCGTCAGTGACATACGGTTTTTTCGAACGTGTAGTTTAGAATTTTTATATGATTTTTGACTATAAATTTGTTATTTTTAGTTTTATATGCATTAACTTACAGTCCTTTCAAATCGATATATCAAAGCTGAAAGTTTTTAACTTTTTAGTTTTTTTGTATTCTGTGAAAATTTTAAAACATACATATTTAATTCGTTTGATATTCAATTACTTATAGTCCTCGAAGTCGGAATATCAAAGATGAAAATTTTCAACTTTTTAGCTATTTGTTTTTGTATTTTGAATTCTATGAAAACATTAACAGATGCATATCTCATTCATTTACAATCAGATTGACATACGGTTTTTTTCAGAGTGTAGTTTAGAATTTGTACATAATTTTAAACTATAATTTTGTCAACTTTTGTTTAATATTCGATGATTTACACTTCTTCGAAGTCGGGATATCAATATGAAATTTTCGAAGTTCAACCCACTAAGTAGTAAGTAATTACCAAAAAATTCCGGTTTTCTCGGGTTTTTCGGTTTTAAACCCATTTTATCCGGTTCTAACATACTCACTTTGATAATTCCTGGTTTTCCAGTTCCAGACCCACTTTACCCGGTACTGTATCCGGAACTGGTTCCTATATACCGGTCCGGTTTCCAGTTCTACAAAATCATGTTAACCGGTTCCGGGTTTTCCGGGTCCGGATCCATCGGTTCCAGGTTTTGACCCACTTTCATCCCTACACTGTATATCGAGATGCTTTTGTAGTAGTTAAAAAGGAAAAACTGTGATTGTTTTGAAGCATCAAACTGGAATTTCAATACTTCCAAATTGTTTATTCGTCATTACTTAATCTCAGGTTGACTTCAAACTTCAAAAATACAGACCTAGCCGACATGAATGAAGAAATGGGCCATGGAAAGGGAGGGGGAGGCGGGGAGCAGCTAGTAGACCATTTCACGATGAAGGGTCCTAGTCTGCATCCCCTTTCACCAGTTGCTCCATTTTCTTCAAGATTTTTTGTCGGTAATGGGCTTTTAGAAACACTCTTTTGGTATAAGCTTTGAAAAGCAAAAAACTAGTATACAAACTCAGCCGTATAAGTAGACAGAAAATACGGGTTTTTTGGTTTTTCTTAGGAAGAAAACTTTTCATGATTATTGAACGATGTGAAAACACTTTGCTGTAATCGAATGTCTTCTTACTTTTTGGGCACAATTGACAAAATGGAAGCGATTGCCTTTTGAGCAAAGTTGACAGAATGTAGGTGATTATAACACGTCAAAAGTTTTATCCTGCGATAGTAACAATAATTTCAGTCGTTAGTAATTATTTGACATTTTAAATAAGAAACATTTAAAAATAACTCTTTATCATGTTCCTAAAATAATCATAATACATTAATATATATGTAGAATC